TGCTGTGTCCCCCGGCCTGGGCCAGGGCCTGGCACACGGCAGGTCCTCGGCTCTTGGCTGCTGTGTGTGTGCCTCCGTCCGGTCCGCAAGCCCCCGCCTTAGTGCCCCACGCTTCCTCTGTGCCCCGAGCTTGCCGCCCTCGTCCCTCGGCGGGAAGCAGCCCCAGCTCACACTCGGCTCCTCCCACACCCCATCAGGACGCAGGATCCCAAGTACAGTCCCATTGTGCCCCCGCAGCTCCCAGCAGGACCCCGGTGGGCTGCAGCCCCGGCCCCTCCTGCGCCTCACCTCCCACCGCCTGCCCCCCACCCCCGAGGCTGCACCAAGCCTCCTGCGTGTTTGCACACGTGGTGCCTCCCGCCCTGACTGGACTCTGCCACCCCCGCCAGCCGGGGAGGGCGCCCAGGCCTGCGGTCAGGCTGTTGAACAGACGAGGCCCGGCCTGCCAGACGCCGGGGGAGCCCCCTGTGGGGACTCAGCAAACACCGGTGCGGGGAGCGAGCCCGTCTGTGCCCGGCCGTGCACCCCGCCCGGGCCCACGCCCAGACCTCCTGGTGCCGACGGGGCCTTGGAGGTGTCTGCACAAAGTAGACGCTGTGCCTGCTGGCGGTCCCCAGGATCGCGAGGCCCTGGCGGGTCTCCCTGCCTCAGTTTCCCCAACGCGAGCCAGAGTCCACGGCCTCGTCCTCATGGGGCGGTGGATGGTGGGACGGCCAGGCACAGGAGTGGGGACTGGGGTCAGGCCGTGACTCCCCAGGCCTGGGACCAGCAGTACCTCATGGCCGCGCCCCCCAGGAGGGGCAGTGAACCCCGCCGCCCAGACCTGTGGGAATAATGTCACTCTATGGGGCTACAGGAAGTGCCCTGGGACCAACTGCCACCAGCGGGTATGGGGCGGTGGATGGTGGGACGGCCAGGCACAGGAGTGGGGACTGGGGTCAGGCCGTGACTCCCCAGGCCTGGGACCAGCAGTACCTCGTGGCTACGCCCCCCAGGAGGGGCAGTGAACCCCGCCGCCCAGACCTGTGGGAATAATGTCACTCTATGGGGCTACAGGAAGTGCCCTGGGACCAACTGCCACCAGCAGGTCCCCTGCCCGCCAGCTCTTCACACAGGAACACATCCCCACGAGACGCGGGGTGCTGTCACCTAAGGCTCCAGATGGGCCCTGAGGAGGGCCTCCCTCTCTGACCTCTGACCTCCTTTCTCTCTGACCTCTGACCTTCCTGACACCTGTGAGGACAACCAGGGCCACCAGCTTATCCAGGATGACCTCCCCTGTCACACGTGCATGCCCCTATGCCACGGAGGGTCACCACTGGGGTTCAGAGGTCAGGACATGGACGTCTCTGGGGGACAGCCAGCACGCCAACAAAACTGGCCGTGCCCGAGTCACGCACCTGTGCCCACGCCAGTGTCCCCAAGCCTGTCTGTCCCGTGCACGAGGAGAGTGAGGCCCAGCGGGGAAGGGGCTGGGGCAGGGGCAGGGGCAGGGCCCGGGCCTGCGGGTCCACGGCCAGGCCACGTGCCAAAGTTCTCAGCTGTCCCGCCTCCTGGAGCGGAAGCCGTGACGAGAACGGGCAGCAGCGTCTTCTGCCTGCTCGGGCGGCGTGGTGGCCGCCGCCTCCTGCCAGGTGTGACACCTCGGGGCAGAGCAGGCAGCTCGTCACGCTCCCACGAGCCCGCGGGCTCCGGCGCCTCACAGACCCCGTGTCCACGTGTCGCAGGCCTTCAATTCTTTTCCTGCCAGGTGGCCGTCTACCACTCGTCGTCACTGTTGGTGTGGCCTCAGTGACGGGGCGGAGGCCGCAGCTTGAGCCACGTCAGGCAGGAGCACAGAAGCCCCGTGTGGGGCCTGAGGCATCGCAAACCGGCCATGCGCCCTCAACGCACCCGGGCCTTGGCGCCCCAGGCTCCGTGCCTGGCTGTGCCCAGGAAGCGCGGTGGGCTGGGGGCAGGGGCGGGGGCGCGGGCCCACCAGGGAGGGTACGTCCGGGTGGCCGTCATCACCCCAAGCTCCCGGCAGACAGGACTGGCTGAGGTTC